ATTTAAAAAAATTAGGTTGGTTTTGACCTCGCCTTGACGCCTTCACTCAAGGTCAAACGGATATAATCATTGAATAGAACTTTTAAAATTCTACAACTTTGGTTCGAAACATTTTTCTCAGAAACGTTTTGTTTTCGAGATATTTAACCGTTTCCAGACTTTTTTCGCACCCCGTATGTGACAAGCATTTCGAAGACCAGCATATTATTCGTGAATGGATCAAACGAGATGGGAGCAGTCGCATCATTGTACAGGTTCGTTAATAATATAAATTTTATGACTGTTACGGAATGCGCTCATGAATTTCTCACACAAACATTCGACACTAGTACACGTGAGCTGAGAGGTGGTGTACACGTGATCCTAATATTCTGGCAGCGCTCTGTGACATTCTTAGACCCGGCTTATTCGTCGTAAATACTGCGGAAGGCCTTTCGATTCTCGACATACCGGAATTATCACGCATGTTTTGCGTGCGTGCCACGGTTCGCGAACCGATTGGTCGCTAAATTTCCAATGCTCCGAAAAGCTATCGATCTCGCGTAACAGTCAGTCTGACAACGGAGCGTTCCGACGCTAGTCGTACGTTCAGCTCAATTGTAAAGTTACTGATTAAACATAAATTCGGAAACAATGACTAATATGTGAAAGCGCAAATAATATCACATTTTCTTTCATATTACAGGCCCCATATAAGTATCCGCAGCTAGTAAGCTTGCTGTACCAACAAAATTGTTGAACAATGCCACAAACAATGAAGCCGTTGATTCGTTGGCCGAATCGTCTTCACATTTAGTGAGCTCTGTTATCAACTCTGTAGACACCCCTCACGTATAAGGTATGTGTTACATGGCTAAAGCAAATATAATGAGTATATATAGTCATTTAATTATATATTTTATATTTTGTTTTTGTATACAGATGTCTCATGCATTCAATTGCCTATTTCTGAAGATGGACAATCGCTTACAGCAATGGAAGAAGCTGATACAATAATGATTTCAACGTCAGATCCGCACACTGAAATTTCTTCTGCGCAAGTCAACATTTCGAGCACGTCTATTATTATAGACACCCCTCACGTACAAGGTATGTGTTACATGGTTAAAGCAAATATAATGAGTATATATAGTCATTTAATTATATATTTTATATTTCGTTTTTGTATACAGATGTCTCATGCATTCAATTGCCTATTTCGGAAGATAGACAATCGCTTACAGCAATGGAAGAAGCTGATACAATAATGATTCCAACGTCATGGCCCCTATTCTTGAAATAGTTGCGTATACGCAAGTAGGACGTTGCGAATGATCGCAATGGAAAATCCCTAGAGCAGTATTCTTGACAGTCGCAGAAATAGTTGCGTATACGCAAGTAGGACGTTGCGAATAATCGCAGTGGAAAATCCCTAGAACAGCATTCTTGACAGTCGCAAACGCAACGTATACGTAAATTTTCATTCGCAATGCAACGCATGGGTCAAAGCAGTCGTTGCAACAAAAACATACATGTTTTAAGACAAGTTCGATACGAATATAATACGTACAATTAATAGAAACCAAAAATGGACTTGGAAGATATTATAATAAATATTCCAATCATGAATGCGTTACAAAACGCTGAAATAGTAAAAGAAAGAAGAGATCGGAATAAGGCACGAACACGATAACCGGGGCCCCTTGATTTGACTGTGGTTTCTGGTAGTATTTTTTACGCTGAACAAAAAATTATATAGGTCTTATAGGGTTAACTGCTTTAGTTTTTGAGATATGCAGTATTAAAGCTGCGTGAACTATTTCGGGACTACCGTACCTCCCTCGAAAGCACGGGGGGGTGTGCGTGAACCTCGGTTCGCGTGGAAAGTGTATGCGTGAACTATTTCGGGACTACCGCACCTCCCCCGAAAGCACGGGGGGGGTGTGCGTGAACCTCGGTTTGCGTGGAAAGTATATGCGTGAACAATTTCGACATATATATTAGTTATTATGCTTTCCAATACTCAAAATAGCTGCTATATTTTCAAAACTTTTTTTTGTTAATAACTTTTTAATGAATAACGAGCGACGGCTAAAACCTTCTGAAGGTCACTCGGGGTCGTGACTTTGACAACATATATCAAGGTCATTGAAATCGGTGAGGTCGCCCTTAATCTAAACATTTACCAAGTTATATTTATTTTGAACTTTAATACTGCATATCTCGAGAACTAAAGCAGTTAGCCCTATAAGATCTATATAATTTTTTGTTCAACGTAAAAAATACTACCAGAAACCACAGTCAAATCAAGGGGCCCCGGTTATCGTGTTCTCCCCCGGAATAATCGTATTCGTGATCCAGATGATCCTTTTGAGTTATCCAATAAAAAATTTGTACAATTATATCGTCTAAGTAAAGCCGCAGCAAGATATGTAATAGACATTGTCGAGCCACATATGACTCCACAAAGGAGAATATCTGCAATCAGCTCTACAACCAAGGTAATAATTCTAATATTTTTAATATAACAGACAGAATTTTATTTATTAGCATAAACACATTAAATAAGAAAGTAATATGTTCACAGATTATAACAGCATTACGTTTCTTTGCGAGGGGATCATATCAAATGGATATTGGAAAAAACATATACATGGATGTTAGTCAACCAATGGTTTCTCGCAGTATCCATGAAGTAATTGATATTATAACAAAAGAAGAGATTATGAACCAGTGGATAAAGTTCCCTTCTACATTAGCAGAAATGAATGAACTACGAACAGAGTATGTATACAAATGTCTTATAATTGTGTATAAAAAAAAACAAAACTTTAACAAAACATACAACAAAATATTATATTAGTAATATAATATTACGTTTTTTTTTTAATACCCTATTGCACAGGCATTGAATCCGTGTAAATTTTCCGGCTCGCATATTACACACTACAAAGACAATTTCCCTCTACGTTTAATATTTAATTTCGCATTTAATATCTTGCGTCGGCTCCAATTGCCGACGCATATTTCTCTCTTATTGTAAATCATTAGATCTTTACTTAAATTCAAATTAGTAATATAATTATTTTGTACGTGTTGCATAAATTTCAATATAGATATGTTATGTTACTATTTTCTGTTATTTAAGATTCTATAGAAGATATGAATTTCCGGGTACTATAGGTTGCATAGATTGCACCCATATAGCTATTTTTCCTCCAGCAGAAAACAATAATCTTTATCCAGAACACATTTATGTCAATAGAAAAGGGTATCACTCCATAGATACTCAATTGGTAATAATAATTCCATATTTTTATTAACATTAATTATGTTATATTTTGTTATATAATTATGTAACATTTCATAAAGAAATGCACTGCAAACTTTATGGAACTAAAGTGTTACTTGTAATCTATAATACACATCTATAGTATTTATAATCATTACAGATCTATGACTGGCGACTAAAAATCTTAAATGTAAATGCACGTTTTCCCGGAAGCACTCACGACACATACATTTGGAATAATAGTAACGTAAAAAATGCAATGGTTCACTTTTATAGACGATATCCAAACAATAATTACCATTTACTTGGTAATTCATGTGTTCAAACACATTATGTTTTGTAAAAATTACAATTAACGCACAAAAAATGAATAAAAATTGTATCTAATGTTTGTATTGAAATGTTTTGGGTTGTAGGTGATTCAGGATATTCTTTACGACCCTGGATGATGACTCCTATATTAGGTGCAGCAGAAAATAGCCCAGAAGCTTTGTATAATGTAAAGCAAATGAGATGCCGTTCACTAGTAGAACAATGCAACGGGTTACTCAAAATGCGATTTAGATGCCTGCTAAAACATAGGGTACTGCATTATTCTCCACTAATAGCTTCGAAAATTATAAACATATGTGCGGTATTACACAACATATGTATAAGCGAAAATGTGCCACTGCCATTGGAGATGGATGGTGATAATGATGATGATGGTAATCAAGAAATTGATTTTGGAATTTACAATAACAAAAATGAAAACATTGCAAATGAAGTAAATGCAGTAGGTAGGAATATTGGCAGAATTGACAGAGATCTAGCAGCTGGCCGAATAAAACAACGACAAATGATAATAAATTATTTTTCTTGAATTTTATTTATGTTATATACTGACATAGTACAAAAGTATGATAAAATAAACGTTTGCAGCCCAAAATGTATTTATTCGTGTACTTTTCAATATAAATAAAAATTTGCAATATTAAACAAACATTTCTTATATTTTTATATTGTTACATAATATAATAACATTATAATATTAAATATGGAAGCAAAACAAATAATTCTTGCATACATTTTTGGTAATAAAATTTAAGACAAATATATATATTTATAAGTACTACATATTAGTAAGTATTATATGTGTAAGTTTTTCATAATCAATTATTAACTAATCAGCCTTTTTATCCCTTAACTGTAGTACAATCACAGTCAATCACTAATGTGTACAACATAAGTTTGTAACGTTCGCGTTTTCTCGCTCGGAATTCGCTCGCCAGGCCAGGGTGAGAAAACGTGGAGACACTGGTTGGTTTTATTAAATAGTCTTTATTCTTACTAACTATGTGATACAGAAATGAGGGAGGGCGTACGTGTAGGTGCGTGTGTGTGTGTATTGCTCCGCTGAGCCGCAGTGTACGTGTTAGGGTCGATGCGGTGCAGTCCCGCGGACGGGTAGACGAGTTCACAACTAGCCGAGACGGATTCGCGGACAAACACGGAGGCCCGGTGGCCTTACGGATTCGCGGGCGGAGGCGCGGCTTATATCTATCAGGTAGGACGGTCAGGAGCTCAGTTGGGGACGCCCGACTGAGCGGCCCGTACATCGGGGGCACCCGGCTCGAAGACGGGGGCACCCGTCTTCCGTACGGCGGAAAGGGTCGGGGGCGCCCGACCCAGAGGCAGGAGAGGGCAGGTAATGTCAACCGGGGGCACCCAGCTGGGGAGGCCCGTACCCTGGGGGCACCCAGGTGAGAACGGGGGCACCCGTTCCCTGTACGGAGGACGAGGTTGGGGGCACCCAACCTAGAGAAGCGGTCTCGGAGAGTGGTCGTGTCGGAAGCAGGAGTCGGACAGGACTGGTGACTCGAGTCGGCTCGAGTCCCCTATTTATACCCCGAGTGAGGGCGGTGGGGGCTGCCCCACCGCTCGGTCTGTCCCACCGCTCGGGCTATCCCACCACTCGGGCGCAGGAGTGCCCGTTGAAATAGGCGCTAGGTGGCCGTCAGGGCCGTAGCGCTAGTGACGAATACGCGTATCGTCACATCACCCCCCCCCGTTTGGAGAGGAAATATACAGGTATATTTACACAGGTATCGATTTATATGCTGCTTTATTCTATCCGCTTTCTACAGCTTAAGCTAGCGGCGCTGGCACGACGTTAGGACGCCGCGTGGGTCGAACCGCAGGACCCATCGGTCGTTACCGACCCGAGCGCGGTATTTACGGTTCCGGATCATGGCGGAGCGTGGTACCGCGACTCTCTCCCCGGTGGGTAGCGGGATCCAGATACGGTCGTCCAGGGGGGAGGTGGTTGAAATTCGGGCCAACGGGGTGGACCGGAGGGGCCAGCGGCCTGAGGGTGGTCGGGCCGTGGTCAAGGAGGGGCGACCCGGCGTGGCGGCGGCGCAGGCTGGCGTGTCGACCCTTGTCCTGTTGATCCCTCGTGCGGCGGCAGGGTGCGGGGGCAGGGGAGGGACTGGAGGCGTCGGGGCTGTTGCTCGAGGAGCTTGGTGGCGGGTGAGGGCTGGTGACGGTCCGTCTGGGGGCCGGTGGACGTCTCGCGGCGGCTCTCCCGGACGTTGCGAATCCTTGGTCGCCGGGGCCGTTGCTCGTGGTGCCGGGCGGTTGGCTGTGCCCGGAGACAGTCCGGCCGGGGGTCGTTCGGTGTCCCGTGGACGTTCGGCCGGTCGTAGGTTTGCCCTCACACGGGACGTCGGTGGGCGCTGGGTCGGGCGTAGTGGCACCGGCTCGATGAGCATGGCGGCACGGCGGCGGTTCTCGGCGTCGCCCCGTTGTGTCCGGGTTCCCACCCTAGGGACCTGGCGGCGCGGGACGTCCCCTGGGCCAGTAGTCGGCCCGGTCGCAAGCGGTTCCTCCCATAGGTCGTCGATGTCGCTAATGTCTCCAAACAGCTCTTCCAGCAAGCTCTTTGCTCGTCGATCCATGTTGACGGACTTTCGAAACTAGAGCGACTAGAAACTTGTGCGCCTCGCGGGCTTATATACCGGTAGCAGGCGTATTCTTTTCGTTCCTTTTGTGAGTTTTTCCGGCTTATGAATGCGGACGTCATTTTCCCCGAAACGGTCCGGACGCGGTTCTCGTGACTTTATGTTTGTAAACACGCGGCGCTTTCGCCTTCGCTATCATAATCCCGATTCTGACAAGAGCTCTCCGTGACCGAGGCGAGAGGTTCCGGTGCGTTCTTTAAATCTTGGACGTGCACGTGTCGGTGCCATCGTCCCCGGGGGTCGCGTAAGTCGACTATAACGGGTGAGATGATTTTTCTGACCTCGAGGGGTCCGGTGTAGCGGGGGGCCAACTTGGCGTTAAATCCCGTAGCTTTCTTTGAGAGTGGATACTCCCTCTTTCAAACGAGGTCCCCGACGCGGGGTCTCCAATCCCGCCGCCGCAGGTTGTAGTGGGCCTCCTGTCGTTGAAACGCTCGGGCCATGTTGACCCGTACTACCTCGTAGGCTTCCTCTAGCCGGCGCCGGGTCTGGTGCGGGGCCGGGTTTGCCGCATGGCGACGGTCCTCCGGGTGTGGGAGGGCGAGCTCCCGACCGTGATTGAGGTACGCCGGCGTGTACCCGGTGGCTTCGTGTCGGGCGGTATTGTAGGCGAATTGCAGCGGGGCTAGATGCTCATCCCAACGCCGGTGGTTTTTGCCGACATATTGGGAGACCATGGTCTTCAGCGTCCGATTGGTACGCTCGACCGGGTTGCAGTGAGGTGCCCTTACCGGGGTGGTTCGATGCTCGATCCGGAAGGCCCGCAGGACTCCCTCGAGTTGTTCCGACCTCAGCTGGGTCCCGTTATCGGAGATGATCTGGTCGGGGCACCCGTGCTGGTAGATGATCCGGTCGAGGATTGCCTTGGTAACGGCAGGTGCGGTAGCTCTACGAAGGGGCTCAAACTCGACCCACTTTGTAAACCGGTCCTGCATGACTAGCAGCCAGGCGTGTCCCTGGGTGGATCGCGGCAACGGGCCGATCAAGTCCAGGGTCACCTGTTGCCAGGACCGGTTGACAGGTGCCGTGTGAAGGTTTCCGGCTGGTTTGGTCGTCGGTGCCTTGTGCGCCAGGCAAGTCGGGCACTGTCGGACGTAGCGGGTGATGTCTTGGAACATCCCTGGCCAATAGAATAGACGGGCCATGCGGGCGATGATCTTGGCGACCCCGAAGTGTCCCGCCGTGGGATCCTCATGGTGTCTCCGCATGATCGTTGCCCGTTCCTCCTTCGGGATGCAGCGCTTCCATTGGTCCGCCGAGTCAACCTCCCGAAAATCCACCTCGTGCAAGATGTGGCGAAACAGCCGTCCGTCCTGGATGCGGTAATCTGGGAATTCGGTGGGGCGTTGCCTTGCTCCGGTCAGGATTCGCTGGTACCATTGGCACTTCGGGGTGGCCTGAGCTTCGCATACCTCCGGTTGCCGTGAGAGTGCGTCGGCGACCTTGTTGAGGCTGCCCTTTTGGTAGCGTACGTCGAAATCGTACTGCTGCAGTTCAAATAGCCACCGGCCCAACCGGCCGGTGGGTTCCTCCAGGCGTTGCAGCCACCGGAGGGACTGATGGTCGGTCACCACGGTGAAGGAGTACCCCTCTAGGTATCCCCGCATCTTCTGGATGC